ACCAGTTTAAATAGCCTGAACATGTTCAGGAAATTACGTTGTGCRTGCCAGTAAACTGTTACACGGGGGAAACCTTTCCCCACAGCACTGCTATGTGCATTCGCAGGCTAATGTTGTTGGAGCAGCTTCTGAATAACTGGTGGCATGTGACGATTCCACTGCTTATATTGACTGACATTTATGAAAAACTCTCCCGTTTTCGCCATCGCTGAATGTAGTATACACCTCTTCAGTATACACAGTGGTGGACAGTAGTGGAGTACATTTACTTGAGTACTGAACATTTTTTGTGTATCTTTACTTTACTTGACTAATTGTATTTTGGGGGTACTTATGACTTTCACTCCACTACATTTCAAAGGCAAATATTGTACTTTTTAATCCACTACATTTCTAGGAAGCTTTTAGTTACTCGTTACTTTTGGTTCAGCATAGCTTTGTAATCAGCTGTTGTTTTTCTTTCTAGAAATGCAATTGGCCATACGTTAGGTTCCTCACAAGGAAAACCAATCACAGTCGTAGCTCACATCTAGGATAGATTTGGAATTACATCATCTTCATTAAAGGGATCCTCGATTAGTTGTAACATTAGACTTTATTTAATAAACATTTATTTTAAATGTAAAATAAAGACTGTAAAAATACTGTAGGCTGTTTAGTTTTTATCATTTTTAAACTAAAGTTTAAAAATATATTACACGGACAGGGCCATTTTATTTACATGCAAAGSATTCTGGGTAAATGATGACGTGGGTAGGTCATCGGTGCGAGGCTGCTAGCGAGCTATATCCACCCTGAAGGTTAATCTTGGACAATATCTGATGATCGACTCTTTTAAATGAAACCASAGAGCGTTGACAGAGAGGAGAAGGTAGAAATGACTCAGCCTGGAACTGAAAATATRGATGGAGGACAACAGAGCTGCTTCATGGAAGAAGAACCTCAGCTTAGCCTGTTAGCTTTAGCATTRGCCCCGATGCTATCACCATATATATGTATTAACTCAGCACTACACATTCTCCTCTCATCACTGAGGTCCTCCATCCACATGACAGAGAGGGGAACACAAAAATGGCTCAGTCTGCAGCTGAAAATATAGATGGAGGACCTTTAGCTTGTTTGTTGCACTAGCGCTGAGCTAATACATACAGTATAAGGAAATATAGCCAGAGTGGCACATAAGCGGTGCGCAGGTGTGCATGCATGATCAAAAAAGAAAAAGTACACCAGATGGAACATCATAAAGCTCACTTGCGTACCTAAGACTGTACCTGAGATTGTCTGTCAAAACAACAGCTAGCAGGGCTCTAGAGTGCGACCAGATTTCTTAAAAAATAAAATAAAATAAAATAAAATAAAATAAAAATCCAGCCACACTGGTGGATCGTTGTTCGGTGCTCACAAAGCCTCTAAGGACAGCGGGACCCTGATATAAGGATTAAACTGAGACACTGCCTTCAACAAATCAGACGAAGTCCAGAGCCTTTTTATCCAATCAGAGCAGAGCAGGGCGGGACTTTCAGTGAGAGCAGTTTTCAGCAGAGACAGGTTGAAGCAGCGGCTCGAGCAGCGGCTGCAGCGGTCAGTCCTGACATCTCCTCCTGCACTTTACTCCTGAACTACCAGAAACTTTGGTCTGTAAAACCTAACTTTATATTAAATATGTGTTCAGAGAGTTGTTATCAAACAGATCTGTCCAACTCTGTGTGAGTGACTAAACTCTCCTCCTGATGAGAGGCTGCTGTGACAGGAGCATGTCACTGCGTGCCRAGGCTGGGTCTTTCTGAGAGGTTCACTGTTTGAGTTCTTCTAATTAAACCAGATTAACTCTAACAGAACATTTGTTTGCCCCATATTAAAGCAAAAATGATTCTCTGTTTACCCCCGTCAAAATATATATATATATTTATATTAAAAAATATAAAAACAACTTGCCATGTTCTCTAGGTGAATGAATTTTAAATGTTAAATATGTTTAAATGCTCTGTGCAAAAGAAAGATATTTGCTGCTTGGTCTGGAGAGTGTGGAAATCTGGTTTAACCAAGGCTGAAGATGCAGAAGGTCAAACAGGAGTTGTCCATCTGAGGGACATGTTAGTCTAAAAGACATTTAACCATGAAATGTTCAGTTTGTGATGTTTATATGACATACACACAGCCCCTTGGCCACTTAGGTAGTTTACAAAATTTATGCAGAGTAAAAGAATAAAATAAAAACTTGTTGGACTGATTTAACATGATGTCCTGAGACGTTGCAGCTGATAGGAGTCATAAAACAGAACAGGGGGATGTTAGATGCCCTGATGCCCCATAGATAAATGTGTTACAGTTTTTATTGATTGTTTCGATGCAGTCGTCAACTCAAAATCCACATTTTCAAAACAGTTAACGCAGAGGTCTAAACATTGACACAGTGGTCAAAATGACATTTTGTTTGCAAAAGGCACTAACTGTGTCAAAACATTTATAATATGGAACAAAAGCAAACTTTGCCTTCAAACAACTCAACTTTGACACAATGTATGAGCACCTCCAAACAATCAGTACACAATACAAAATACAAAACACAGCACTCATGTGAATCAGTGCACCATTGCTTGTCATTGTAGCCCATGACTGTACGTAGCTTACATGTCAGTGCTGTTTGTAGTCAAATTTACCCTCTTGTAAAAAATGCATCCAGAAGCAGATATGCTTTGATGCAAATTTTATTGATTACAGTCTCTTTTTTTTCAGACTGTGCCTGACAGATAAAATATTCCAACAGAGAATACATGGAAATAAAAATAAAATCCTTTACTGTGTGAGAAATTATGTAAATAAAAAACACAGTCTTTTACAGTAAAGAACAAAAATCTATAGTAGGCCTATACTATAAGAGTATAAGAGAACAACACAGGCCTGCAGACTGATTGCAAATTGAAAAACTCTGTGAAGAAGTGTCAAACTGGTGCTTTCAGTGATTTCATACTGATTTCATACTGATTTCAAAAACTTAGTCTTCGATTTATTTAACATATCAGAGACTGTAGGACGTTAAAAAAACAATAAATACATCAAATAACCATCATCCAACCTGCTCTGCTGGTAGAAAAAAGTTTTCCTACACTCATATTTCCTCCTCCGCTGCAGTTCACCTGCACCCTGAACGTCTGAAGCGGTTGATATGTGTGGTGTTACTACTATCACTAGTACTGGTGATGTTACATGCTGTCTGGTGATGCAGAAAACACTTCATGTTACGAGACGATCAGGGAAAATGCCAACAGCGGGAGGAGGGTTGTTACGGCAGAACTTATTCAACATATGCTTATATGAATATGTTTGCATTTACCTTTTTCATTAACTATTTTTTTTTTGAAAATCCAAAAACCACCTCAAACGAGCAATAAAGGTTTTTGCAAGTTTTTGTGAATTTTGCAGTTTCCACCTACCTTTTCTAATGCAATCCTTCAGAGTGTGCATAAAAAATGTTGAAACGCTATGAAAGTTTGAAGACTACAGCTGTTTTAAGATGGCAGCAGCCCACTTTAAAAGTTACTTTACTGACAGGTTATTATTAAATGGTCCAGCAGGACCCACTCCCAAATAATATTTTTCTTGAAGAATTTCCCAAATTCAAAATATTTGCATTTTATGCAAAAACTTTTCATTTTGACACAACAGATTGATTTTACCATACATGTTTTGACACTCCTGTTAAAACTGACCTCTCACTACTGCTGCTGCTATTTGTGCAAATAAACAGTTTGTGCTTTCAATGTATTCATGCCACTGAAATATCACACAAGTATAATACAAAATTTACACAATGTTGTAGTTACTAACTATGAAATGCAGCATTATTTTAATTATTTGTTAAAAGCTTATTTTTTAAAAAAAAGAAGGTGTTTCTTTGTTTTCATATAAAATATGTGAGAAACTTTATTTTCCAAGAACATTATCTTATATTAATTACTTACAGGCAAATGTTTAGGCACCTTAATAAAGCATCAAATATCCCATAGATTGATTTATTTTTGTTCAGTTTATTGCCTATTTTATTTTTTATTGTTTAAACTTGATTAATCCACATATATTAAGATGATTTAGGTGAAACTAAGTTACATCATAAAACAGAATTTATATTAAAACAATAAAAATAAAGAGGAGAACTTAGAATAAAGCAGATTTGATGGAGTCTGACTGTGATTACATTATGTCCAGTCAGAAAGGGCACACATGTCCCAGGACTGGACAGATGTCTGTGAGGACATGNATGTCCCAGGACTGGACAGATGTCTGTGAGGACATGTGGACAGATGTCTGTGAGGACATGTGAACAGATGTCTGTGAGGACATGTCTCTGTGCCAGGAGAGTCTGATCTGGGATCTGCAGCCCGCCTCAGTCCTGTCTGTGGGGGAACTCTGCCTTTTATGGAGTCCTCTCAGAGGAAACGCTCTGTTCCGTGTTTCAGCACAGAAAACATCTGAAACCATCAGCAGCGTGTCTGATCCAAGCAGGACCGGATCCGTTCTGTTCACAACAACAAGCAGGACACATGTCTACAGACACATGCTGCTCCGTGCTTCACTTTAAATGTTTTCATGATCATTCTTATAGTTTAATCATAAAAAGCTTCTGGTTCTGATTAAAGCTCAACTTTTTTTTTGTCTTCTTCCGTTCTGAACCGTGCTGAGGGAGTAACCCGGGTTAAAGGCAGAGGTTCTAGCGTTTCTCCGGTGGTTAATACAGTTTTCCCTTCATCTCATAAACAGATTAATCAATCCTCRAGGGTCTCGCGGGTCGTCTTTGTTCTGATAATTACCTAATCGTGCAGATTTCATAACCGAACTTAGTCCGCTTTAGAAAAGTTTCAGCTTTGCTCTCATTAAACACACTGTCCACTTCAAACTAACCCGGGTTAGTTGAACTGGCTCTCTTGAATCAGAATAAACTGTKGTAAGTTTTACAGCATCATCGTGTCGGCGCCTTTGTAGTTTCTTTGGTCTTTATTTACCTGGTTGTCCGCAGGCTCGGTCCAGCAGCACGACCCAGAGCAGAGCCAGCAGCCATCCACACGTCGCCGGGGACAGTTGGACATGTTTCTGCCTGTGTTTACTGTACATCCCGGTCACACTGTGTCGCCCGGCGGTCCTCCCGTGCCCTCGCCGTTTGGTCAACTCTCTGCCTCCCTTCAGTCTCCGCCGACCGTCAAACAACACGGGCTGCGACACGGTGCTTCCGGTTGGGAACTTCAAAATAAAAGCGCGCTCAGTCAAAAACGATTAAATTGTGTGTGTGTGTGTGTGTGTGTGTGTGTGTGTGTGTGTGTGTGTGTGTG